TGGAATATATATCGCCAGTCTCTCCTAGCCTGTAGGGTTTCTGATGAGAAGTCCACTGTGAGTCTAATTGGAGAACCTCTGAAAGTAACCTGGCATTTCTTTCATGCACATATTAGAATCGTTTAGGTTTTACTATGGTGAGTTTGATTACAGTGTTTTGTGGTGAAGATCTTTTCTGGTCATGTCTATTAGGAGTTCTATGTTCTTCCTGCACTTGATGTTTCTTTCTTTCTCCAAATAGGGAATTTTTTTGTTATTATTTCACTAAAAGGGTCTTCTAATCTTTTCTTTCTTTCCATGTGTTCAAGAACTTATAGAACCCATATGTTGTGTTGTTTAATAGTATCCTGTAGATTTCCAACAGTGTTTTTGAGTTTCCTAATTTCCTCTTCTTGTTCTTGGTTTGACTGTATAATTTCCTGTTTTATCTTCTGGGTTGGATATTCTTTCTTCTGCTTCACTGATTCTGTTGAGGCTTTTCACTGCATTTTTAATTTGTTATATTGAATTCTTCATTTCATTCTGATTTCTCTTTAAGATCTCAATTTTGTTGGAGAAATTTTCTTTCATATGTACAGAATTCAGTAGCTCATGCATATGCTTGTGATTACTTATGTGTAATCTTATGATCAATGTTTTTAATTCCATTTCTGGCATGTCTTCAATCTCATCATCTTCACAATCTAGTTTTGAAGTGTTGTGTTCTTTTGGGAGTGTCATGTTATCGTCCTTATTCTTGTTTCTTGAATTGATGCATTTTTTATTTGTCATTTGTGGAGATAATTGTTGGTTTCTTTCTTTTTTTTTTTTTTTTTGTCCATTGTGGTGGTTTTATCTCTGTATTATGTCTTATTTTATTTTATTTTATTTTTTTGACAGGCAGAGTGGAGAGTGAGAGAGAGACACAGAGAGAAAGGTTCACCCTCCAATGGCCGTTGGTTCACCCTCCAATGGCCGCTGAGGTCGGTGTGCTGTGGCCGGTGCACCGCGCTGATCCCAAGGCAGGGGCCAGGTGCTTCTCCTGGTCTCCCATGCGGGTGCAGGGCCCAAGCACTTGGGCCATCCTCCACTGCACTCCCGGGCCACAGCAGAGAGCTGGCCTGGAAGAGGAGCAACTGGGACAGAATCCGGCGCCCCGACCGGGTCTAGAACCTGGTGTGCCAGCGCCGCAGGCAGAGGGTTAGCCTATTGAACCACGGCTCTGGCCTCTGTATTATGTCTTTGTATATATGTGGAGTGTCTGCCTTCAGGGAGTGTGTATATACATATATATGGGGGGAGGGGTTTGTGGTGGGTGTGGTCAGGAAGCTCTGTTCAGTTCTCCAGGGTGAATGTCATGTCTGAGGTGACACAGCCAGGTTTGGCTTGGTAAGTCAATCTCTCTCTCTCCCTCTCTCCCTCTCTCCCTCTCTCCCTCTCTCCCCCTCTCCCCTCTCCCCTCTCCTCTTTCCCCCTCTCCCTCTTCCCCTCTCCCCCTCTTTCCCCCTCTCTCCCTCTTTCCCCCTCTCCCCCTCTTTCCCCCTCTCCCCCTCTTTCCCCCTCTCTCCCTCTTTCCCCCTCTCCCCCTTTCCTCCTCTCCCCCTCTCCCTCTCTCTTTCTCTTTCTTCTCTTTCTCTGTATCAGAGGGTGATTTATTCTGCTCAGCTGAGCTCCTCTCCTTAAAGGAGACCACTCCTCAAAGGAGTGCTAGCTCCAATGGGTGTAATATTAGTCCACTCAGTCCCAAGGACCACACAGAGGATCTATGCTGTCTTCAAAGTAAGCTCAAATTCCCCGGCAATGCCCCTTACCAGATAACCAGGAAGCCCTGAAAGTGTGGAGTCTCCCATAGTTACTGCCCAAAGTCCCAGCCACACACAGTCCTCCTTCCCAACCTCAGTTTCTTTTTCTTTCACTCTCGCTCTTTTTTTTTTTTTTTTTTTTTTTTTTCCAGTTCTGGCACACAAGCCTCCCAAGTCATGAGCACTTAGCCCCCTGTTAATTCTTCCCATCAGAGTCAGGAGTTTCCACTTGGCTGATTGCTGGGTGAGACTATAAGCTGGCGCAGCTGTTACATATGTCCAAAATGACACCTGCTCTATCGGCTTATTACAGGACACCGTTTTAAGGTGATGGGGGAGGGAGAGAAATGTGTCTCTCCTTTTTTTTTCCCCTCCAGTTTTGTAGGTACACTATCCCCCATGGGGCTTCAAGCCAGGTTCCCTCTATGCTCTTCCTGCAGCTTTATTTCCTGTGGCTTGGGCTGCTGCAGTCTGGTCCCACCTCACTCTTCCATGCTGGTGTGTAAGCTCTTGGCTGCTGGAATCCTGAGCCACGGGTGTCCATGCCCTCCATGTAGGTCTACTGTGTCCCTCTGATTTGTGTAGAATTTCCTCTGCCATTTTCTCCCTAACTCTTCCCTGAGACTGCACTCTCTCCACTTTTTTAAAGCTGTCCTCTCCTAGAGCAGAGCAGTATGCTCCCTCCCTACTTGGCCATCTTGGAACCTCCCCCATAATTTCTTTATCCAGTCTTCAGTTGACAGTCATTTGGGCTGATTCCATATCTTAGCTATTGTGACAAAATTTTTAAAAAGAAATTAGTATCATAAAAGACAAACACATGCAATGAAAGTATTTAGACTGTGGGTGACTAGGAGGACTTGTCAGCCCCATATAATTTCAGACCCCAGATTGGCTCTTGTTCTGTTGTGAGGCAGGGGTGAGGGAAAGGGAAATGTTGGGAAAATATGCAAAACTGGAATATGAATGGGTAATTAGTTAAATGAATCATATAGATGTTAAATTTGAAGACATTGGTAACTGAGCTGTGATTATGTTAGAGAACGTTCCATCCTTAGGAAAAGACATTTAATACTTAGGGATAAAGGACCCTCAAATGATTCATAGAAACATATATCCAATCTGTATAAGAGGTTTTCAGAAAGTTAATGGAAAATGGGTTTAATGGCCAGACTGCCTGGATTTCAATATTTTTTGCACCGAAAGCAACTTATGTATTAATTTCATATTCTATTAACTTTTGAAATCTCTTCATACAGCTGTGTGTGTCCACAGATGTATGAGAGAGAGAGAGAACAAACAATAAAGCCAATGAGGTGCACTGTTCACAGTCAGTGCATCTGGGGAAAGGCTGTGCAAGAGTCCCATGCACTATTTTGTTCCTGCAACTTTCTTTAAGCTTGAGATTATTTCCAAATGAAAAGATTATTAAAAAGAATACATTTGAAACTAAAAATAGGCATTCTGATGTTAAGCAACATTAAATAGTAAGACAATTACTGGCTAAAACCCAACTCCAGATCTAATAGAACTAGATTCTAGTCATCATTTTCCATTAGGATAAGTTTATTTGCAATTAAGAACAAATAGACTGGTAATGCTGAATTTGCTAAAAGCAGCTGCTTCAAACTAATTTAGAAAAGTTGTGGTATATGATACCAATATTAAAGAATGGAATAATGAATGGGAACAAATTAGAAAATCCATTGTGAAGAAAATTTATTTACAATACCAATAAACATTAAAAGTTACCCAGAAAGAAATATAACCAACCGTTTTGGATATCTGTGTGAAAAAAAGCACACATCTTTGTCAAATAAACAAATATGATTAGATTGAATGGAGAGAGAACAAACTTCCGTATTAGCAAAATCAATGTGGTACAAATTGATTTGTAGATAAAAAGATTCATTGTAAGCAAATAAGACTATATGTGATAGGCATATAAGTAAAAAAAAAATGAAAGGTCCAGAAATAAAATGTCACATGTGTAGGAACCAGATATGAAAAGGTGATTTTGCAAATCAACTCTAGTATGGACAATTCAAACAGAGTTCCTTGGATAATTTGTTTTCCAAATGAAAAAAAAAAAAAAAAGGCCCCCACCTCACACCACAGAACAGTCCATTCCAGTTACACTGTAGATTTAAATATAAAGAACACAACTTCAACAATTTTAAAAAATAAAAGGAGAGGGGCCGGTGCCGTGGCTCACTTGGTTAATCCTCCACCTATGGTGCCGGCATCCCATATGGGCGCTGGGTTCTAGTCCTGGCTGCTCCTCTTCCAGTCCAGCTCTCTGCGATGGCCCGGGAGGGCAGTGGAAGATGGCCCATGTGCTTGGGCCCCACAGCCGCATGGGAGACCAGGAAGAAACACCTGACTCCTGGCTTCGGATTGGCATAGCTCTGGCAGTAGCGGCCATTTGGGGAGTAAACCAACAGAAGGAAGACCTTTCTTTCTGTCTCTCTCTCTCACTGTCTATAACTCTATCTGTCAAATAAAAAAAATAAAAGGAGAATATATGTATAGCATCAAGGTTATGAAGGATTTCATAGGCTGGATGTGCAGACTATACAAGAAAAATGTAGTATGTCTTACTCTATCAAAGTGAAAATTTTCTCTACAAAAAAGTCACTCTAAACAAAGTGAAGATCCAAGTCACAAATTGACATTAATCAACAGAGATTGGTTATCCAGAGGATGGGAAGGAAAAATGGGCAAAAAGAGTAGATTGAAAGTCCACAAGGCATAAAACTTCACAGAAAAACTGTTTCGAAGCATATTAAAATGGTCACACCAACTTTGAGGGCCATTGTATATGAAAGTGACTTTCTGTCTTTTATGTTACTGAGCTTCCAAACTATACAAAAATTCTTTTTAATTTTCAAATTTTATTTCATTTTTTGGCAAGCTATAATCATACATAGTTACCCAGTGATGACTAAAACAAGAATAAGGTAGAATTACGGAACCAAGCTGATTAACATATCAAATATCTTAAAAACTTGTCATTTATTTCTCCTAACTGCAACTTCATACTCTTTGACCAAAGTCTTTCCGTTCTCCCATCACTCAGCTTCTTATAATGACCATTCTACCTTTTGCTTCCATGAGTTTTAGATTCTGCATATAAGTGACACCAAATGTTTAATTTAAAATATATAAATGTTTAATATGGAAATCTCAATGGCTAAAATATATCATGAACTTTCATAGGATCAGTCCTTTCCAGAATATGAAAATGGTTTTCAAATTGGAATGAGATTAGAAGGCGTTGATCCCCGACATCCGTCTGTATTCTGTGTGCTTTCTGTAGCTGAGGTAAGAGATGGAGGAATTGTCTTGGGCTAATTGCATAGTGACAGAAGCAGGGTTTTCTCATAAAAGAATTGAGTACTTAATGTCATAAATAAGTGATAGTGCATTGTGGACTTATTTTAGTCAGCGATGGTTGAAAATACGCTTCTTAATGAATTTTTATCTTTGTCTGAAGATAAATTTTCTAATAAGTCCTTCATCACTGGTACTTACTTTGACTTGGCAAATAGTTTTTACCTGAAGCTGATAACAGTATCTGAATCCACACAGTTTTGTTTCACCTGTTAACAGAGATGTACTTACTTGTGTTGTAGCTGAACTAATGAGAAAGTGTATGATTACTATTCATGCATGTAAATTATTTATATGAATACAAACATTTTATGAAAATAGTATAGAGTGAGGAGCCAATGATAAAACTGATGGCTCATAAAATGTAATACATATGATTTATCATTATGTTTATATATATTATTTTCATTAGATTGATAAAGGATACTATATTTCTGATGGTATTAAACATAGAGTCACATCCATTTACTTTACTGATTGATTATAGCTATTAAACTTGTGCTGCCTATCTAGAGGGTGTAATTCTTAGACCATTTTGTTATTTCCATTATTGAGTATGCCAGATCCATATATTATGGTTGAAGCAAACGCTACCCAGACTGGTTTCTCTCATTGCTTTTGCTTTTGCTGTTTTGAGATGTGAATCTAAGGCAGACAGCAGGAGGTAGGGTTTGTGAGCAAAATATTTGATAAGTATTGAATTAATAAGCAGTCAGTTAGTGAATATGTAAATGGCCTTCAGATTTCTAAATCAAGTAAAAAGATAATATTTTTTGCAGAAGGCTGTAGATTCTTGAAAACTTACTTTCACCATTTCATTTTGATTAGATGCCATTTATAAATTTGTTTTCTAGTGAAAACAAGAGGATAGAAGGAATGTCTCCTACATGTTCATGGTACTGCCAAAATATATGAATATTTTGTGTCTACTTCAAATTTACAGCATTTAATGAATGATTACAAACTTTCCACTTTGCAGGTGTGTGGTTACCGTCTAAGACTTCATTTTGACGGTTATTTAAGCTGCTATGATTTTTGGACCAATGCTGGTTCCCCTGACATCCACCCAGTGGGGTGGTGTGAAAAGACCAAACATGAACTTCACATCCCTAAGGGTAAGCCAGGATGCATTTACCAGCTGGAAAGAGAGCTGGTGGTTATTTTAGCTTTGTTTTAACAACATTTCATGGAATATTAACAGGAGAGCCTGGTGTGAATTGATTTACAAAAGAAAAGCTTGAGCCACAAAAGCAGTAAGGCCACAGTGATAACCATCCTTAGAGATGATTGTCTTTAAAAGAAAAGCATCAAGACTGTTTAGATTTGATATTCTGGTAGGGTACTAGGGAAGAAATAGAATATTACGAGTGCATTTATTTTACATAAACTTTATTAAGACTTACAAGGTGAGAAAATATGATCAGATCATGGTTGAAATGAAATATCCCGCTTAGTCAATGGCCTGGCATGGAGAGGACACTAGATTCACTGTCAATCATTTGTTTCAAAGTTTAGAATCATGTTGAATATGGCTCGAGGAAAAAGACTTCACTGTCTATCTCTTTTGAGTGGGAATTAAAAATTTCATCTTTGTTATACCCTGCAGAAACCTGGACTGGGTAGACATGACCAAAATCTTTTGTATTTGGTGTGTGCCAAGTGAGAGGATGTGGTCAGGGAGGTGGTGATGGGTCTCTCTCTTTGCCTAACAAACTTCTGTGAATGGCCTCCTTTTGGGAGCTAGCCAATTTCATGACCATTGCAACTTCTAGAGTTAGAATATAGTTGTTTTTTTTGTAATTAATTCAAGCTGTCCCTTGGAGTCTGCCCCTCGTGGGCTGATTGCAAACTGCCTCAAGGTTGCTGGGTTTCACTGGAGCTGGAGATAGGCTCTTCTACCCAGTGGGTGCTGTGGAGCCCTTTCTGTGCACAGGCACTGGGGCTAAAACTGCAAATGAAGCAAGCAGCCTCCATCTGCATGCAGTTTTCCTTCTAGAAGAGGGAGAATAGGGGCAGGGCACTCTTCAGAAAGCAGGATGGAGAGGACTCTGAGGGTGCAAGCCTCCCTATCCCCAGAGACTTGGATGGAAAGAGAAAGGGAACAGGTTGGCTCTCTAGGTAAGCATGTAGTTGAGGAGAAGCCAGAGTGAGTGCCTTGGGTTGGGGGTCAGGGGACTCAGGGAGACAGCGGAGAAGCAAGATAGAAAGTGGGTGAGGAGGTAAGAGGTGTCCCCATGCCCTGGAAGGCTGGCCAGGGGTTTGGCTTTCTGTGCACAGTGTGACACTCAGCCAGAAGCTATTTATTGAGACTGTATTATTTGGGTCAGTGCTGGGTTGAGCCACTTCAGGGAAGATGAATGGGAGGATGAGTCATCTTTTAGTGGGAAACTTGCTAAGAGAAGGAACAGAAAGCTTGGAGAAACCCAGTGGCCTTTCTATTGGGAAGGGTGCCTGTAATCTCCCAAGGTGTCTCACGTCCTGGATTGCAGCACCATCGGGGCCTCTGATACTGGTTTCCAGGACACAGCTTTTTTGGGAGTGGGGGCAGTCTCATCTCATCTTATCCTTTGCCCTTCTGGAAAAGCTTCATGGGAGTTGAGACTCTAATAATCAAGCCACCAGGGTGCCGACCCTACAGCTCAGTGAACTTGGAAAATTTGTAGACAAGAAAGTACATAATGGGAAACCACCCTTTATACTTCTGAATTCAATACATTTTAAAAATTGTTATAATTATTGTAAATTTGTGGTCTGCTAAGGACATCATTGTATGGCAGAAGACTGAATAATAATAATATATTTAATATGTATATGGTTACATCTAGTGGGTATTTTGAGTAATCTGCACTTTTTTTAGGTTATAGAAAAGATAAATTTGTTTGGATGGATTACTTGAAAGCCTGCAAATTGCAAAATGCTCCCAAGAAATTATTCAGAAACAGAAGTTCTGTAAGTATTTTCTTCTTCAGTATAAATCACATTTCCCCCTGAGCTTAAGTACTTAAAATTCACTTCATATTTATGTTGTATTTTAATCCTTTAAGAAATTATGGGAACTCTGAAAACTTCCTATGACTTTTCTCATTTAATTTGTCACAATTTCCTAAGGGTGTATTTTTTTTCTCTCTCTCTAAAAGTGCAATTAAATACTTCAATTAGATGGGTAAAGTTGAAAACTATATATTTAAAGCCTACTAAAAATTAAGATTTTTTTTCAAACATTTGTTTCTCTGCTTGCAGTCAGTGAGTTGGTCATTTAGACTTAGTTTTGCAAGCGATAGATAACCCAGATAGACTTCGAGTTACCAGCACAGATCTACCAGGGAACTTCAGAAAGTTCATGGAAAATTCATACTAACTTTGATTTTTCACAAACTTTTTGAAGGCTTCCTGTACTTAAGTGTAATGCAGACAAAACTAATATTTCATATGGATTCAAGGGGGTTATGAGGATTGGGGTGCAGCTGTTCCTTTGCTATTTGTGTTCACAGCAACCGAATGTACCTACAACAGAGAATAAGTTACAACCTTCTCTCTTCTTCGCTGGTTCAGCCGAGAGGCTGGCACACTGCGGAGAGAGCAGGGCAGGACAGCAGCCTGGGGTCAGGAGTCAGCTGTGCCACCTGCAGGCCATATCACTGTGCTGGTCCCTCAGTGACTCTCTCCAAACTTCACTTTGCTCATCTCGAAACGAATGTTGTACAAGTATTGTATGTGTTTCATAGAACGATACCAAGGGAAGGGTACCATTGAAATGTGAACCTGCTTTAAAAATAGAATGTGCTAAAGGGAAATAACAGTCAGGGTTCAGTGTGGATAGCAAAGAAGTGGAAAAAAATCTTTGTCTATTGTCCAGATAACTGTGTACAGTGCACACTCCCTAAATTCTAGGACTCATTAGTTACAGCTATACTGAGTGGGACTTTGAAATTGTGATGGTGGTGTAAATCATAATTCATATATTGTATACTAAAAGAGTAAAGATAATTGAAGAAGGCATTTATATTTAAACTATAATTTTATTCATGGATTAGTACATATGCTCCTTAAATATTGAGGAAGCCACTATTTTCAGTTCAGGTAAATAATATTTTTGACACATAAAGAGCCCATCTTTACCACTTTTTTCAAATCGTGGTATTTGGAAACTAATCAAAAACCTTTCAAAGCATATACAATCCTTTGATATTACTGTATTCAGTAAATATAGTATCTTAAAATTTATACATATTGCTGCAAGAACAGAAGAGGGGTAAAATGAAGGTGACAAAGGGAAGAAAATCTCTCTGCACAACAGAAGAGAAAAGCCCAACGGAAAGTGAGATTCCCAGATGCTTGCTGTGAGTGCAATCTAAGAGACAACTGCTGGGTGGTTTACAGGAGTGGGCAGGCCTTCTTCCCGAGGGTCAGTTCTGATGCCCCATGGACATTGCTGATGCTAAACACCATGCAAGTTTTGATGCTGGCTCAGTTCTGTTTGGTGTTTTCTTTCCATGCCTCTTCCCCTTCTGGTGCCTTGTTAGAATGGGCTAACATCTAAAGAATTTCAAGTTGGAATGAAGCTGGAGGCCATCGACAGGAAGAACCCGTCCTTGGTGTGTGTGGCGACCATAGCAGACATTGTTGAAGATCGCTTACTAGTGCATTTTGACAATTGGGATGATAGTTATGATTACTGGTGAGGCACCAATGTGTGTCTTATATCTGTGTGTTCCTATGTTTGTTGTTATGAGCTTACATTCCTTCTGGTACCGTCACTGCTCTTGCTTTTATTATAGTGATAAACAGTAATTTAGTGGATGACTTTTTGCTACTTTCTCTTCCATATGAATTATTGAATTAAAGAGCACAAGATACTTTTTCTCCATTCTATGAAAAGTTACCTAATGAGGTCTCACCTGAAATAATATGACCAGTTCATGGTACTTCACTGTATTTTGTCTAGTTTATAAGAGAAGCATTTCTGGGAAGAGGAAGTTAAGAGCCTACAGTATTTTCTCTTTCTTTTTTGTCAGAAAAATGTTGAACTCAGCCTGTCACATTTTTAAAAGGAAATATTCCAGGAGAAGGGGAGTGAATTATTTGAAAGCCTGTGGGGAGCAGAGAAAATGTATGCTACGATGCCATTAAACTAACATTGCATGAGTTAAAAGGGTTTTCTGGATGGAAACCTGAAATATGGGAGAGGTCATGGCAAAAATAATTTTTGTCGTGTTTCTTCATAGCATGTCCTGAATAATGGACAAGTCCCTGCCTCAGGCTCTGATTCTTCAGGTGCATGGTGGGGCCCCTGTTTTCTCCTGTATACTTAAAAGCAAAGCACAGCATAATTATCTCACATGTCTGAGGTAGAATATTCTAGGCTCTTTGAAAAGAGCAGGAGGGGGAAAGTGTAGTCACCTGGAATCTGATTGGACTACCCCATTAACATTTTCTCTGCTGCTAGCAGAGGAAGTTTATGAAATGTACACTCTGAGGAAATCACTAGCCATTTAGGTACTTGTCAACAACCCCTCCTTGGTTTTTTAACTTTTAAATTTCAAGAGAGTTATGTAAAAGAAAATTTTGATTACTCAATCTATAAATACAGTACTAAAAATTACTTCTTATTCTCTCTAGCTATGAAGTACTATTTTCCATATTATCTCTTGATATCCAGAATGCCTTCTATTTTTGGATTCTTTCTCTGGCAGTGAGTGGTATGTGATCTAAAGTACAGTCCTATTTCTGCAGGTGTGATGTGAATAGTCCCTATGTCCAGCCAGTTGGTTGGTGTCAGGAGAATGGGAGAACTTTGATAGCACCTCAAGGTGAGTGGACTGGCCACGTTTTGTTGGATGTCATTTCTGTGAGTGGCAATGTCCATTTTTGTTTTCGTGTATGCAAATCATGTATCATGTACGATAAAAATGCAGTGCAGAATTCTGTTGACTGCCCAACATCTGAAAACTACATGTTCTTCCACGTTTGAAAACAGACAGTGTTTATGAAGATGCATTAGTCAGCTATTAAGTAAAATATGCTAAAGGTCTTTATTCTTCCAAATAAGGGTCATTGTCATGGATCACCATTTAAACTAGCTGTATCCAATAATGTATAATTTATCTTACACCTCCGTTATGACTTAATTCACTCTTTGGACCATAATACTATAAAATATACTGAACTTCACTGCTAAATGTATGACTATACAAATCTAGCAAGTGAGAATTAACTTCACATTGAGTCTCCAGATTTGCCAATCCTCTTTCAGCAAACCAATAAAATACTTAACTAAATATTTCAATAAGGATGCTTTCTAGGCTTTACTTTTCTCTTCATTGCATAAGCATTTAGAGAAATGCACAACCAAACCCCTGCTTTTTAATTAAAAAGTGAATTAGACAGTATCTGTGTAATCTTAGTTTTTTTTTTTAATTTTCATTCACTTTTTAATTTATTTGGGAGGGAGGGAAGGAAAAAGGGAGAAAGAGACAGAGAGACAGAGAGAAAGAAAGATGGATGGATGAAAATATACAAAGAGCAATCTCCTCATCAACTGGGTCACTCCCCAGATGCCCAGAATAGGCAGAGGAAGTGCCAGGACAAATCTAGGAGCCCAGAATTCAATCCAGGTCTCCACATGGGTGGCAGGGACACAGTTACTTGAGCCATCACTGCTGCCTCCCAGGGTGTGTATTAGCAGGAAGCTAGAATCTGAAGGAGAGATAAAAGACTCAAATCCAAACACTGCAATCTGTGATATAGGTGTCCTATGTGGCAGTTTAACTACTGCACCAAACACTCACACCTAATCTAAGCATTTTAAAATAAATGTCCAAGGAGAATTTTGTTTTCTTTCTATAACTAATGTACAGGAAGAAGTATAGTATCACAGATATGCTATTTTTGGATGGATCAGATTTTTAGTTTTTAATTTGAATGACTTTAGTTTTGCCACTTCTAAATCTTCTTTTCAACGGGCCATCAAAGAAGGAGGTATCTTTCTCTGAAGGGAGGAGAGAATTTCCACTTTGATTATGGCCTTGTCTAAATAAGGTCAGAATTTGTAAACTCAAGAGGTTTCCATAGCCTTGGCAGCTCATGACGAGAGCCTCAGGTGATTACTGACATCATAAATAAGAGTGTCAGTTGTTAAATCAACAACAGGAGTCACTGTACACTTACTCCCCATGTAGGATCTCTGTCCTTACTGTGTTGTACTATGAGAATTAATGGTAAAAATTGTCTTCAAACAGTACTTTATACTTTGTATGTCTGTGTGGGTGCAATCTATTGAAATTTTTACTTTAGTATATACTAAGTTGATCTTCTGTATATAAAGATAATTAAAAATGACTCTTAATGAATAATGGGATGGGGAGGGAGTAGGAGATGGGATGGTTTGCGGGTGGGAGGGTGGTTATGGGGGGGGAAACTGCTATAATCCAAAAGTTGTACTTTCGAAAATTATATTTATTAAATAAAAGTTTTCTAAAATAAAAATTCTTTTCCCTTAAATATAGGAAAATACTAAAAAAAAATCTATGAAATTCCTAAATTTGGTGACCCAGAAATCAAGAATTAAAATCAATAAAAAAGCCAAACAAAAACAAAACCAACATATTGTGAACTATACAAAAGTATCTATTTAGTCTAAAAATGTTTTGGAAAATAGATATCAATTCAGGGTCAATTTTGTGGCCTAATGTGGGAAGCCACTGCCTGCAATGCTGGTGTCCCATATGGATGCCAGTTCTAGTTCCAGCTGCTCCACTTTTGACCCAGCTACCTGCTAATACTCCTGGGGAAGCAGCGGGAGATGGGGCACTTGCCACCCATGTGGGACACCCAGTTGAAGCTTCTGTCTCCTGGCTTTGGCCTGGCGTAGCTCCACTGTTCTGGACATTTGGGGAATCAACTATTGGATAAAAGATCTTTTTCTCCTTCACGTGCCCTCTCTTTTTCTCTTTCTGTAATGCTGCCTTTCAAATAAATCAATCTTTTTTAAAAAAAAGAAATATATACATCTCAAATTCTGATATTTATATGCAGGCAGATTCATATTCATTTATTGTATTTTTCTGTAAAACTGGCTGCAGGTAGCTTGAGAATAATATTCTGTAAGATGAGGGGAAGTGTTTGATCTCAGAGTGTGTTGCCTGAGTTGGTGTGCCTGGTGACAGAGTGTTGTCTTGTCCAAACACCTCTAGCTGAATAATACCTCCATTGCTGCCACTACCTTGTTCTCATGACACTTTGCTGAGAGGCTCAGTGGTTAAATCTTCTACTTTTGTCTCTTGGTGTTGTGTGCAGTACATTAAAAATTAGATGCCCTAACTAGAGGGTTTTTATATAGCAAAGGAAACAATCAGTAAAGAGACAACCTATAGTGAAAGTGATGATGTACAAGCTATGCATATGGCAAAAGGTTAATATCCAGAATATATAAAGAACTCAACTCAGTAGCAAAAAAATAAAATTAATAATCCAATTAAAATGGGCAGTAGATCTAAACACATTTCTAAAGGAAGACATGCAAAGCTATATGAAAGAATGTTCGGTATCACTAATCATAAGGGAAATGCAAATCAAAAACACAAGGAAAAATCACTTCACTCCAGTGAGATTGGGTATTATCTTAAGGACAAACAATAAGTGTTACTGCAGATGTGGAGAAAAGAGACCCTTTGTATAAATTAGTACAGCCATTGTGGAAAACAATATGGAGATTCCTCAAAAAACTTGAAAATAAGACTACAATATGATCCAGCAATCCTACTCGTGGGTATGTATCCAAGGAAAATGAAATCCCTCTGTTGAAGAGACATCTACATCCCCATGTTTATTGCAGTACTATTCACAATAGCCAGGAAATGTAAACAAGCTGTGTCCATCCACTAATGAATAGATAAAGAAAATGTTGTATATGTGTGTACACAGTGTAATAACAGTCATTCACAAACACAGATGTTTTTTGAAACAACATGTATGGAACTAGAGGCCATGAATGTTAAGTGAAGTAAGCCAAACATGGAAATATCACATGATCTCATCCATATGTGGAATCTAAAAAACAGGTGATCTAGAAGTTAAAAATATAATGGTTGTTAACATAGGCTGGGTGAGGGGGAAGAGAAGAGGAAAGAAAGGATTTTTGGTGGGTATGAGGTTGTAGCTAAATAGGAATAAGAAGTTCTGGTTTTTTTTTTTTTTTTTTTTGACAGGCAGAGTGGACAGTGAGAGAGAGAGACAGAGAGAAAGGTCTTCCTTTGCCGTTGGTTCACCCTCCAATGGCCAGCGCGGCCTGCGTGCTGCGGCCGGCGCACTGCACTGATCCGATGGCAGGAGCCAGGAGCCAGGTGCTTTTCCTGGTCTCCCATGGGGTGCAGGGCCCAAGCACCTGGGTCATCCTCCACTGCACTCCCTGGCCACAGCAGAGAGCTGGCCTGGAAGATGGGCAACCGGGACAGAATCCGGCGCCCCAACCGGGACTAGAACGTGGTGTGCCGGCGCCGCTAGGTGGAGGATTAGCCTAGTGAGCCACGGCGCCGGCCCAGTTCTGGGGTTCTTTTGCACAATAGTATTCAGGTAGATAATGTTAATTCCTTGAATATTTCCCTATTTTAAAATACCTAGACTCTTTCTCATCCTGCAAAGTGATGGGTAAAAAAGCTGTAGCTCTAAAGCCAGACACTAAGAAATCTCCAGCCAAAAATGCAGATAATGCCAGTGGCAGAGTTAAAAAAAAAGCCTCAAGGATAAAAAGCCCAAGAAAAGGAAGCCCCACTGCAGCCAAAGCCCTGTCCTTGTGAGAGGGATTGGCAGATTACTCCCAGTCAGCTATATATTCCAGGAAAGTCCTGTACAAGAGGAAATATGTGGCTCCCAAATCCAGGATTGAAAAGAAGAAGGTTCTTGCTACTGTCACAAAACTAGTTGATGGTGACAAGAATGGTGGCACCAGGATGTTTATGCTTCACAAAATGACCCAATACTATCCCAATGAAGATGTCCCTAGAAAACTGTTGAACCATGGCAAAAATCACTTTAGTCAGCAGTGAGGAAACTGTGGGCCAGCATTGCCACTTGGGCCATTCTCATCATCTTCACTGGGTACCACAGAAGCGAAAGCATGGTTTTCCTGAAGCAACTGAGCAGTTGTTTGCTGCTTGTGACTGGACCTCTTTCCCTTAATTGGATTCCTCTGAATAGAACACACCAAAAATTTGTCATTGCCACCTTCATGAAAATTAACATCAGCAATGTGAAAATCCCAGAGCATCTCACGGATGCTTATTTCAAGAAGAAGAACCTGTGGAGGCCCAGACACCAGGAAAGTGAAGTCTTCAACACAGAGAAAGAGAAATATGAGATAACAGAGTAGCACCAGATTAATCAGAAAGCTGTGGATTCACAAATAATGCCAAAAAGCCAACTGTTCCTCATTTCCAGTGCTACCTGCGATTTGTTTTTGCTGTAACGAATGGAATTTACCCTCACAAATTGGTGGTCTGAATTTCTTAGGAGAATCTCATTAAATAACTAAAAACGCCTAAAAGAGAAAAAAACCTAGAAGAAAGGATTTGGGACATTTTTGCTATAAAGAAATGTTAAATGCTTGAAAGGATAAATATGTTTACCTTGATTGTACATTACACAATGTATACATGTCATGAAATATCACATAGTACTCCATAAATATGTATAAATAAATAAACTTTGAAAATCAGATGTCTGCTCCCACTCCTGTAACCTCTAATCAGCTTTCTGACTCTATAGAGTTGCTGATTCTGAGTATTAGGTGAAAAGAGTCCCACAACATGGGACA